TMTTAAAACATATTTTATCATCTATTTTCTCTAGATGATTATCATCTTCCTCCTGTATCTCTGACTCACTCTTGGAGCTTTTGTCATGCAATATTGAAACCAGCAASACTCTGAAATGCTATACAAATAACTTTACAAGGCAAAATGAGAAAGACCACTGAGTGTGACACTAGCCATTTCCTAAATTTTGAATATTTAATCTTTTTAAATGAAATCTTCACAGGTTTTTCTGGGAGGAGTAGAATTGGTAAATTTAATTTTTTTTTTAGATATAAGAACGTCAGGGAGAAAACCTTTCCAACTTTCTGTTGCACGAGATGATGCTGACATTGTCATGCATCATCATCAGGACTGGAATTTTTAAAACCATCACAGAATCACAGGATGGTTTGGGTTGGAAGGATCCTTCAAGATCACCTTGTTCCAACCTCCCTGCTGTGGGCAGGGACACCTTCCACTAAACCAGGTTGCTGAAAATGCCATCCAATCTGGCCTTCAAAAGCCTCTTGTACTTTATCCTGGAAGTTTGCTATATTATACTGGAGAAGAAAACAGAGTTTGATCCTACATCTTATATTTTCTGACTTCAGAGTAGTGAGTCTCAAAAAGTTTGCATGCTATAAAAGATTTTGTAGAGAATGTGCTCTCCTTCAAATTCTTCTGCCTATTTGCACCAAGTACAATCTTTTCGCATTATATCTAATTTTCCCAACTTTTTACCAACACTATTTGGCCAGGTTTAAATAATTTCTAACATGGGATGCCACAAAAAACTGGACTACTGCAAGCACCAGCAATTCTCTGACCCTCAGACAATGATTAGAGGATAGACAACTACATTTATTCTGAACATTGCCAAGAGTAACACAGGTATCAAACTCCTGAAGGTTTTGTAACACCATTTTTCATGCACAGAGCCACAAAAGAAATCTCTGTTGAAAAGCACCTTGGATTACGTAATTTAGTGTCAAGATATAATTATACAAACACTCCTTGACAGGAGTGCTCTTTGACATCAAACAGGAGGCTGGAAATAGGATCCAAAATTAAACTGACATAGTACCAGTGAGCTTAATGGTTACACAAGTTTTTAAGCAATCCTTCACTTGCTGTAACTCAGTTGTTATTTCTAATATGCTGCTGTACACAGTGTTACAGAACGCTTCCACGCAAGAAGCTTGATTTGCATGGAAATTCTACCTTCTTGCTCTGAAAATGCACAGACAATGGAGATGAGAGAAAAGTTACAGGACATTGCAAGCACTGGCAGCAAAGGGAAACAGAAACACTGACACAATATTAAGCTGTCCAAACAAAAATGCAGTTAGGCCAACGCAGTCAAACAGTGAAAACATCTCAGAAAGCTTTTTTGAATGACTGGTCAAAAATACCACTGCTTTTTGTTTGTATTCATACTATCCATACTCACTACTACAGTAATTCACCAATATATTCTGTGTTGGCCCCACTATAAAAGCACAGGTGAATACACATGCAACACAAAAAATTAAATGTGCTGGCAATAGCCTCTCAGATTGCCAAGGAACTTACTAGCTTGGATGGATGACTCAATAAAACTTCAGGGTGCTAAAGGGAGAAAGAAGAYAGAAAAAGATGGAGAAAATTTGGGATAGGAAAAGTGTGACAGAGAAAAAGAAAAGATCCAACAAGAAAAGAATTTAAAATAATAACCGCAACATTAATTTACTAAGGCGACAAATCTTAATTAGTGGTTTTAGCATGCATTACTAACCAGCTTCTGAAACATGAGAAAAATGGAGAGTTACCCTTGTGCAAGTTACAAGTTTCACCTTGGTTTTTTTAGTTGAACGTTTTTTTTTTCCAGTCCCCACATATTTAATRTAGTTCTTTGTTTGGGTTTACAAATGAGTTTCACAGATTGAGAAGGACTTTAATTCCTAGTGCTTCCCTTGTACCAATTTCAGGACAGCTGAATGGTTTAGAAAACTAATTCAGTAACTGACACAATATGCATGCCAAATACAATTGATGGATTTTTACTTGTACTGTTACAAGACATCCTGATTTCCCTGGTAGTCTTTTTGTGTTGAATACATCATTTATTGTCCCTTCTCATAAAAAAAAAAACAAAAAACAATTACCAGCTGAGAACAAAAACCAATTTCATCTACCAGTATTATCTGCAATATTTTCAGTTGTGGGAGGAAATCCATGTTCACAAAAGCTAAAACCAGCAGAGTCTGTATTAGACAAACCAAGCTAATTCTTCAGAAAGAAAGAATTTGGATTAACACTTGACTGAATAATTTTTTCCCCTGTTTTTTTGAAGGATACTATTCTCCTGAMTTTGAAGAACACCACTGTAGGAAAAAAACCAAATCAACCCCTCTGAGTGGGCCTGTTGAATCTAAGGTATTTTCCTGGCAGGGAATCACTGCTAACATTTTCTGATGAAAAGTTTGTAGAACTGCACCAAGGGGAAGTTTGTTAACATCTGGTTTTGGACTCTTTCTTCTCCCTAAAAATAAGGAGTATATGTATAAGGAGAAAAACTATGCACTGGAAATGAAGATGGACAAAAATCCACTCATTTTTCCTGGAAAAAAAATCTAAGAGTAGTTGGTCTCTCCCTGATTAGAAAAACAAAATGAAACGAGGTATACTGGCTGGGAAAGACAAAACAGAAAAAGCTGGGGAAAAAAGTATCCTGAGGAACAATTAAAGGAAAACTTTTTCACTAYAAAACGAATACATTAAAATAGTAGTTTGGAAAAAGTTTCCCAAAGAAAAGAAAAAGCACCACAGAGCATAATACCACTTCACAGAAACACAGGGAGAGAACCTCCTGTGTGTGATTTGCCTCTAATGATTCCATTTCAGCCAAAATGAAGACAGGACACCAGGCCATGTAAACTCAACAGGGATTTATGAGTTGCTTTCAGCCTCCAGAATCTCCCAGTGCGTCTCCTGCTAGCAGCAGGATGACAACTGAGCACAGAGGCAGTGAATGTTTAGAATAATTAGAACATTAAGCACACAGATTTGCATAACCATAGTAATGTTATTTTAAAAAACAACCCCAAATATGAAAAACACTGCMGTTTTAGTCCCCAAGTAGAGAATGAATATAAAATAGTTATTAGTGAGAAGAGGAATAGTAACAAGAAGTGGATACTTCAAGTGAGACACTGGAGACTGACATGGAACTAAAAACAATAACAACAAGTTTTCAGCACCCTTGCGCTCRGTTAATATTTTTTAGTATAAAGTTAAATCCCTTTTACAGAAAGAGTGGAAGCTTGCATGGTTCATGGTTTCTCTGAGGCTCACTGGATGTTAGCAAGTGTTTTTCCTAAGGACTACCAAAGTTTTTTTTTATCTAATGACTTAACAGCAGTCCAATTCAGTCYCTTCTGGCAGCTTCTTAACTTCTAGGGCTAACAGATTTAACTGAAAGTACTTAAACATTTAGCTGGGAGTAAGAGGCAAGGGGAATTGGTGCTGGACACTTCTCCATTCAAACTGTGAGGGGAACAACCTAAAAGAAAAAGCTTTTAGCCATTTACTCTTAAGAGCTACACAAGACCTTCCTTCCTGCTTGTGTCTCATGCAAATCTCCACTAAGATAATGTAATAAAACTCAACAGAAAGAACCTCTAATTCAGTTTGAAACTGAATGCTCTCATATAGCCATTAATTTGAAGGTTAATAATTATGACAATTATTTGCAATTATTAACAATGCAGATGCATAAAATTTGAGGTTTTAGAAGCTATAAATGGAGCTGGATTATCTGTCATAATAATTTCAAGGATGAGAAGGAACTAATCCGTTTTGAAAATGTCAAAGTGCCTGAATAAATATCTGCAATGCATTTAGAAAGAGAAAGCCTTTGAAAATAYTTTTTAACTTCTGTGCAAGCTACAAAAAAAAAAAAACCACATTGGGAAGGTAAAAACAGAAAACAGAAACAGCTGGAAAAAAGGTTATTAAAGAAAAATGCAAACTTACTGCAGGTGTAAAACATATCCAAGTGAAAGTTAACTATATTTTCCTGAGTTATTTCACACAGATTATAGTAGGCTATCAATGTTTTTTTGGTTGTAGAACTGAAACTATTGTGACAACAATTTAAGTAGCTACCTTGGATAAAAGCATGCTCTAACAACATGCGGCAAATCTTGGCTATGACAGATTCATCAACTCATTACCACTAAGACACTGAAACAGGGTGAAACTGCAATTCATGACAGAGAATTCAAATTAAAGGGTCCTTCAGGTCTTGTGAAATACCACTGAAAACAGCCTGTGAGACTAACTAAATGTGTACAACTACATTTTTTTGCTGCCGTGCTCTGTTGATGCTGAATAACAGAACAGTTGATTCTGTGTCACAGAATGAAAAAAGAAGGACAAACATGGGTCTAGATATGCATGTACAGAGTTTAATTTACACAGTTCTCAGGTGTATTAACACCCACCTTGCACACACACAACAGGAATTCTAAAAAGGTTTTAACTGATGACTCAAAATCACACACTCAAAATCACACCAGTGTGCCACACTGGTGGCACAACCTTTTCATTTATTTCTATGCTTTCCTTCAAGCAGGGCCAACCCTGCACCTGAATTTATCAAATTAACACCTGTAAGCATTGATAATTGGTATGTGAAATATTTAGCTGTTATTTTTTTAGCTGCTACATCAATTTAATGGCATAATGTTGCTACAAACTGTACAGAAGCATTCTAAGCCTTAAATTCCTAGTAGCTGCTAACAAAAAAAGCCAATAGCACTGTTATTGCAGTAAGTGAAATCCAAAATTAGCACAGTTGTCTGAAAGTTACTTCCTGATAGGCTTAGTTTGCAATATGGTTTGCATGGACGATGTTCAGTTCTTGCTGAAAAGAAATTCACAGAATTTTCCTTTAAGACCCGAAGTTTGCTTTGTAGACACAGGCAATGTGTTTAGAACTGCATGCTTACAACACATATAAAATCATGAACAAAGATTACCTTTTTCAACTGAGTTTCCATCTTCAAACATTCTTCTTTTTTCTGTTCTAATGCAATTTCCAGTGTCTTGAGTCTTGAATCTTTCTTCAGTCCCGATGAAGCTAATGATGAAGCATGTTCCTTAAGATCCAGTAATGACGTCTAAATTAAAAGATGTGAAATAATTAAGTAAGTGCAATAACTGGTTTTTATTCTGTCTTTGTTTTCTTTCTATCCCTTCACACCAAGTTCAGAATCTAATGTAGAACAATGTCTTTTTTCAGGATATTTGTGTCACTGACTTAAGACAGCCTGAATTAACTCAGGCKTTCAGGATTAAAATAACACCTTGTCTAAATTAATTTTAAAACAATAATTAAAGGTGGACAATTCTGTAWACTGGAACTTGTGCTCCAGTGACAGTCATGTTTAAGAAAAATTGGTTTTCAGTAAAATTGCATTTAAAATCATATGTAGTTAGCAGATTTAGCCACTGAGGGGATTCAAAGTTGTTTTTTTTTTACAGCTTCCATGGGGTGAAATTGATTTATGCTCCCTAACTCCAAAAGACATCTCAACTTCTTTCTTTCTAAATCATTTTTGTGTTGTTTTTTTTCCCTGTCAAATGCTGATTTCCATGTATACATATTTTTGTATTATTTTACTTTGAGTTTTGAAAAAAGATTGTAGGTACACAAGACAGAAACAGAGAACATTTATATTTCCCTCATATAATTAAGGTAATTTGTCTAGCCAACTGGCTCATTACCAGCAATCAAATTAATTAATCAAAAAAGGACTCAAGAGTACAAAGAACTAGCTGTGTTGTTTCAATAAAGGAACAAACATTATCCTCATGCTTTTGGCACCCACAGCTTTGATCAGCCTCTACTCTTTCCTCCCCACATTTACACAGGGACAAGCTTGTTCCCAGCCTTCCGTTGTCTGTAAGCACAGCTCCAGTCAATGCCATCATTGACCATCAGTCATTCACCACTAATAAGATTAACTGCTGCAAACAAGGGGATGGCTGCTATCCCTGAAAAGGTGGTTTGGAAACACTGATGCTTTGCAAATTCTCAAATGATGTATTTTATCAGATAAGCTTTGTTGAAGGACAATTACTATAAAGGAACAGTTTTCTTCATCTCAAATGTAACATAAACGTATACAATAAACAATTCCATCACAACATATTCGTGCTGCTGGTCAACCTCTTTCTCAGTGAGATCCCCTTGTAAAATGCTGACTCTCTCTTTCAGGTCCTTAATGTCTTTCTTGTAGTTGTCGATCTCTTCCTGCTTTTCTCGTTCATCTCTGTCACGCTGCTCCTTTAAACGYTCAATGGTCTTTTCCTGACAAAAGAAAGCGCTCTGTGAGGAAAATTCCTCTTCGTCAATTCAGCTTCTGAGGCGTCTTATCACAACACTTCTGACAAAGTTAAAACGAGGARAAGGAGCGTATTGCCATTTTCTTTTCTTTACAGTTGTAAAGATCCTCAAGAAGGAGAAAACTTGAGAAATCTATGAATTCATTGCTGTGAAATACAAGGGTCCCTGGATCCCTCTCAGCTCTCAGTTGCAATACACCCAGCTTATCTGGTTCTGTTTATCAAAATCAGCCTAAACCCAGGTGTGCTTTGTTTCCTGACTTATTTAAATCTTATTTTTCTAAAAAGTACAGTTAAATCTGCGGTCCTTCAGAGCACACCGGGATTTATATGCAGTACAAAAAAGGCAACAAAATAACTTTTCAGTTATCAACAGAAACCAGATATCAACGGGGCTTTGATCACCTTGGAAGCTGAAGGGATGCAAACAAATTACCCAACCTCAGGTAAAGATTTGCCACAGTTCATAGAATCAGCCTAAAGGAGCTGTAGGCCTGGCTCTCTGGGAATCGTGAAAAAAATTACATATAGTTACTCCAGAAAGTTGCCCCAACCAGAGAGAATGGGAAAGCCTATCTCTGAGCCGGTTATTTCCCAAGAACGGAGCAGACAGAAATGTTCATTTACCGGGATAATCGCGGCGCTTCCACCGCGGGAATYCCGCCGCTCCCCCCACAGCGCGCGTGCTGCAGCGCCCTCTAGCGGGGGACGCGTTCCCGCCGCTCCCGCCCCGGACTGGGAGCGCTTTCGGGTGAATGGGGACAGCGGCTGGGGACAAGGGACAGTGCCCCTGGACAGGGGACAGCCCCTCCAGACAGGGGACAGCGCCTCTGGACAGAGGACAGTGCCTCCAGACAGGGGACAGCGGCTGGGGACAAGGGACAGTGCCCCTGGACAGGGGACAGCCCCTCCAGACAGGGGACAGCGCCTCTGGACAGAGGACAGTGCCTCCAGACAGGGGACAGCGCCTCCGGACAGCGCCACCGGACAGGGGACAGCCCCTCCGGACAGGGGACAGCGCCTCTGGACAGGGGAACAGTGCCTCCGGACAGGGGACAGCGCCTCCGGACAGCGCCTCCGGAGAGGGGACAGCGCCTGGAGACAGCGCCTGGGGACAGGGGACAGCGGCTCCGGATAGGAGACAGCGCGCCCGGACAGCGCCTCCGCACAGTGGACAGTGGCTCCGGACAGGGGACGGTGGCTCCGGACAGGGGACAGCGCCTCGGGACAGCCCCTCTGGACAGGCTGCCAGCAGGAACAGCTCCCCAGGGAATTTCAGCGCTTTCCATACTCACTTTTTCTGCAAGCGCTTCTTCCAGCGTGGTCAAGGCAGTGTCAGTGTTGGTGGTGTCCGCCTGCAAGGATTTCACTCGGTCYTTCAAGCTGCTCATCTGCTTCTCCTTGTCTCTCAGCTGCTCTTGAAGGTTTTCAATCTTGAACCAAAGGAGTAAATTTTAAGACACAGCAAGCAAAACCATCCAAAATCTTCTTAGGAGTATATTAAATTATTAAAATTATTCTTAAAGCAAAGGAAGTAGGCAAAGGTGTAGTTCTTACAATCCTACATCAAAACATTAAATGATCCAAAACCATAAAGTAACAACAAGGAGTCAGCAACCTTTTTACAATCCAAAGGAAGTTCAGAGCAAGTCTAAACAACATTCACAAGAACATAAAGAAAAGCTATTATTCCAGATTTCTGAGAATGGTAGACACTGTGTGACAGAAGGATGATCACCACATTAACAAAGACATCAAGAAATGTATTAAGGAAGGAAAGAAGCTGACAAAAACCTTACTGCATATGTAAACTAAAAAAGGCACTTGATAATTATCAAGTTGTGAAGAAGGATTATTTTAAGCATTTTCTTTGGTACCATCCTATTTTTTGCTGCACTGGCAASTTTCTTGTTCATCTTACATGGTGGCTTGCTATATAATTAATGGACTATCACAAAGTGCCATTCCTTGGGCAGAAAATGTATCAGCCTTGTTTTCTGTGAGTGTAAAATTTCATCTATTTATGAGTTCTGAATATATCTTTTGATACAGTGAAAAGACTTAATGCCAACCCCCTTTTATGCATATATACACATCAAAAGAAACAGACATGTTAACATTATAACCTGTCAAAAACAAACTTATCAACAAAGAAGTAAAATGTAYACAGATTTCTCAGTTGCTTCCTTTTTGTGCTGTTCTGGCAAGTTCTTCCTGCATCAGCAAATGCACATTATAAACTAATGAATGTTATGGATCACATAAACTACCCAGCTCCAGAATATTTGTAGCAAGATACTCTTTCAAAGACATTTGTAAGAAATAATGCAACCAGACAACATAATCCCAAAGGCTAACTAGCCCAGTGTCATAATGGTAAAATAAAGCATTATCTAGCCTTTTGTTTCATCTGTTGAACAGCAGTTAGCAGCTGCTTGGTTACTGGAAATGTAGCAACTATACTGAGGTTTTACTCTTCAACCCTGGAAAAACYGAGTTTCTGTGATTACTGTACCCACATGCACTGCTACTTTGCTATCTGTATTGGAAGTACATCTGGCTTACAGCANAAAAAAAAAAAAAAAAAAAAAAAAAAAAAAAAAAAAAAAAAAAAAAAAAAAAGCATGAGGCTTCCAAGTCATGCTCAAAAATAAATTTGGGCACAACCCACTTGACATTACAAAATAAAATTGGAGAGCACCAAAAAACCATAACCAGTGGCACAGCACGTCAGTTAGAATCGATGGTAAGAACTGAAAATTCCACCTTTATACACTCCTACTACCTTTTTAGCATACATTTGCAGCCCATGGAGCTTCTAAATGGACCTCACCAGCTCTGACTGAAAAGTTCTGGTGCGCACACGCAGAACTGCTGAGGAGGCAACACGCCCCAGGGTAGCCCATACAGCTGCTTTTGACTTCAGGAGCTCCCAGTGTCATCAGCTGTCTAGACAGGGTGGCTGTTTGGACAGCCAGCCATGAAAATATACTACAAAGAAGGCTGAGTTATTCTTAGACCCATGTTTACTTCAGGAGGAGAAACACTCTCGCCAAAGGCTCTGTCTGGCTGAAGAGGGGATAGTGCAGAGTGGCTTCTGCTGTGAGCAAACCACTCACAAGAGCAGATAAATAATTCAGCTTCAGCATACATTAAGGTCTTCACCAAGGCAGCACAAGCTTTTATTTGGACAAACCTAGTGTGCATTTTCATGTTTCAGTTACTGTTTGCAAGGATCAGAGYAAGGTGACAGCTGTATGACAGCACTGTGTATGAGTGCTGCACCTYCCCATTGCAACGGCACCCTCTGGTATTAAAAAAAAATCCCAGAACAAAAATGTAATCTGTATCAAGTCTGAACCTGTCTATTCTTTCAGTCTACATACGTATTTTTCAGTCTGGAGCAACAAATAGTGGAGTTTGTTATCACTGAGGGAACAGCAGGTATTCAAAAATATTCCAAGTCACGTTTAGATACTGACTAAAAACCCACTGTAGCTCCAGCTGTGCCCTTTGTGGGGTCAGGTAACAGAGTCTCCCTTGAACAACACGGCCCCTAGACTACAGAAAATGGGAACTGGCACAATGGGTCAAAACTGAAATATTTCTGTAATAATAGATGCAAAATTTTCCTATGATATCATACTCAATAATCAATTGCCTTTATTCCATTTTTCTCCTACATCTGCAATATTGTCATGAATTATACCTATAAGTTTTCCACAAAGATACAATCTGAAGAAAGCAAAGAATAGTCTACACTCTGTCCATTAATTAATGAAGAAATTTGCTCTTACATCCTTGCAAGTAGTTTGAGGATACTTTAAAAAAAGAATAAACAATATATTTCTAACCAAAGGAAAAAAAAAAAAGGTAATTCTGAACAAATTCTCAAATAACTGATGAAAGTCAAACAGATAACCAAAAGAGTTTCTTTTCTACCCAAGAAAAAATTAAATAACCCTTAATGGAATTTCCAAGCCCTGTGGAAGACAGAGAGGCACAAGGATTAAATGAGCATTGTTTATTTTTGAAATATTCAGAGATAATAAATCTCTTCTGAAATATTCCACAAACCTWAGGAATATATATATAACTGTACCAGATTTCTAAAAAACCCCAACAATAAAAATTAAAGGTATATACTATTTTTAATTATTCACCATCTTCAGTCTTGCCATGTTTATTTATTTTGCAGGATAAAGACAGCAATCTATGGCTAAGTCAGCAACACTACCCTTACTGCAAAGGTACACAGAGCTACACTGGAATCATCTGCTCTACACACTTTCTTGTCAATAAGGATTTACTGGAAYATTTTTTCCAGCATTATCATTGTCAGGCACTATCATGATTCAACTTGGGTGATTTATTCTTAGTTGTGTGGAACTAATTATTTTGCCTTCCAGCCCTGAAGCACAGAGGCAGAGGCAAGAGAAGTTTCCTCTGGCRTTCTGCTCCGAAGACAAGGAAGCATTCTACTTCTTGCAAATACAGACTCAGTGAAAAGCCCACGCAAATGCAAATTAAAAACAGCCCAGGGATTCAAACGAAACACATCCAGTTAAATATCCATCAAGGCCACTAGATTCCCAGATTCCTCTAGTTAGAGRTTCCTAGATCCTGTGTATTAATGCTTCAGCCAAGAAATTCTTCTATAGAGACARTGTCCACCCTTTTGCCATGCCCTGGGGCATGAGGAAATTGAACACTTCAAAAACAATTTCTATTCTATCAGTGACTTCAAAATAAATGAAGTGGGTTTGAGAACTGGTCATGAAACCTTTTCCACAATCAATTTAACACTTGACAGTATTCCTTCAGTGTAATACACGAGCACATGTGCAAAGAGGATCTCAGGGTTCTGTTTAGCCCTCCCCTTTTTTGATGATAGCTTTCCTTTGGGGGAAGCAGCACTATAAACAGGATCTCAATAATCTGATGRGTTTCAGAAGGTTTCTGTTCCATTCCTGTGGCACAGCCATTCAAATAAACAACTTTGCATAGGCTGTTACCTTTCCAAACAGTTCTTCCTTGGTATGGTAAAGGCACTATTGGTCACACCAGTTCCAGGGTCAATGACACAAGATGATGGATTATCACCAATCACAGGCAGAAATGTTTCTTTCCACATCAGGAATATTAACATGAGGACAAAAGAAATATTTTTGGAAGGGAGAGTGGGTGAGTAAGCAGACATGTGATGCTAGAACAGCTACAGCTCTGTCTAGGTGCAAGAATGCCACTCCCTTTCATGTAAAAATACTAATATAGTAATAAAAATTCAAGAGTCTACAGTCATGCTTGAATTGCTGGAGTCCCACAGTATTTGAGAAGCTGAGAAAGATGGGCTTGCATCAAAAGCCAAATGACAACGTTAAATCAGACATGATGTCATAAAAAACATCTTAAAAAATACTGCTTAGGGGGAAGGGCTAAGAGGCTAGTRAGAGATCACGTTAAGTCTTTAAGGGAGACTGTTCAAGAAAGCTGTACTACTGGATTTATAATTATTACTGTATTTCATTTTTTTGAGAACATAATGGAAGCCTATAAGCAGCTACCTGGTCAGTCTTCTATGATTAAGCTCCAGTTTTACCAATGTCATGCTGMAATCCTCACCACAATAACTGTCTCCCTATTGCAAATCCTGCAAAAGTACCACTAGAACAGTCCTGYGTGAATTGCAAAAATCTGTATTTAATTTAGCATTAACAAATTCTGTGACTGTGTGCAGTAAGGTCTGYCACATGAGTGAATATCATTCATATTACTGTATTGAATCATTAGACTCAGAGCAATATCCCTGTTATTAATTTTAAAGGTTAAATTCCCAAGACTAGCAACAACGTGAAGCTTTAGGCAATGTATTCCTTCTTGTAAGGGTGAGATTTTTAAGTTGTTTTAACATTCAGGACAGATCAAACAATTTTCCTTCTTTGAATAAGACTTCAGCAAAAGCAAATCGGAGTTTCTTCCAAAGTTCAGCTGCACTCAGCATGCTTTTTTTACTTCTAGATCCAACCAACTGATATGAACATAGTCACACTGTTGTCAAGCAATTTTCAGAAATTCTTGTTCTTGAACCATCGTACTAAAAACCATCCCCGGGAAGACTGGATTAATTTTTATTTTGTTTCCCAATAAAGTTTTCTTTTTACTGCTCCTCTAATTCAATGCTTATCTGGAACATTACTACTCTTGCACTATCACATTGGAATACTGTGTGGAATTTGGAAATGTCCTGATGTTGCTGAATTTAAAATGGTGGGATTTTGTAACACCTTGAACTGATACTCGAAGTCTTTCATGGGCTAACAAAGGAAGATACGTTTATCTTACGAAAAAGAACCAGGCTACAAAAGAATGAGGACAGCACAGAGGAGGACAGGCCAAAAAGAGAATTTTAAATGGCTAAACTCCAGCATTATGG